GCCTCCTGCTGTGCATGTTTGTTATTCACTGTGAATCTGGGAGTCCGGGCGGGTCCTCCAGCACAGCATGGCCACTTCTTTCTCTCAGACCACAGCCACACACATTTTACACAAGCGTCCGCACACATGTGCATTCACAGAACCACTTAATCCCATTTCCCTAAGCAGTCCAATGCGCAACACTGAGAATCCCATCAATGTCACAGTTTGAATCACTGCAGTACAATCAACTGGCAGCTACTGAGTAGGAAACCAATGAATCTGTCAACTCAGTTGCTCGGTATAAGGAGGGGGAAAAAAGCTTCTTTGTTTTAGTGCCAGCACCCGAGGGCAGCCGTCGGCCAGCGACAATGGCTGTGCCATGTGGACGCATCACACACCCAACATCACCTGAGAATCGAACCAATAAACACAAATTATTGTTCCCAACGGCTGTAATAATTTTAGACGGCGCAGCAGTGGAACAATAGGCAGCATTTCATTGGTGAGTCTCCAGTATTATTAGATGCTTTTTGTATACAACTACTGAATACTTGAAGGCAAAAAAAGGGGGACATGGAACTGGCAAGAGGGAAGAAGGGGGTACAAAAGACTTTCTGAATGAAACTGGAACTGGAATAACATGAGGTGAAAGCCATGCGGAGCATTCCCCCCCTCCCTCCTTTTAATTTTGTCTTGTCTCAATGTATTTGCATAATTAGCAAAGAGGTTATTGCCAGGGGTGCTGGGCCTTGAAAGCTATTGGCCTGAAGGAATAATTAAGCTGCTCTCTTATCCCTGGCATCTTCAGCAAGCGATCTAAGAGTGCACGCGGTCCAAAATTCAAGCTGATATGTTCAAAACCAAGTTCTCCTCTAAGAAAGCTTAATGCATGATTTATGTTTAGCTGCACCCTCACAACGCAAGAACAGGCTTATTCCAAGGAACTGTGAAAGACCCCTCCAGCACTCAAACACACACACAGACACACAATTGTATTTATCTTAAGAAGGTTTGCTGAGCATGCAAAGCTCTACTTTGTGTTCACATGCGTTCCCATCTGGGACCTGCTTCTAGTCTTTTCCCGACAGCTCCTGACTACCAGCAATGGAGCAGCTCATCGCTGTGCATCTGCTTTTCCAGACCCTTCCACTGTATTCACATCAGTCATAACACAGCTGCCTATGTTGGCGAATCACCACATTTATGTTAATTCACAGGGAATTGACTCAAGTACAAAGGGTGACAAGTTAGCTCGTGCAATCATCAGGAGTTACTACAACTCAATGTTGCAAATCCTGCAGCTGGTCCGTCATTACAAACGTAAGCATGGGCCACAGCACTCGTCCAACTCCCAGACGTGCACTTTAAAAGTGGTGGTTGACCCAAATTACACAGAAAGACGCCACGATTGTTACCCTATGTTGTAGTGGTGTGAAGCCATGTCCAAAGTTTGGGTTTTTCCACCCATGTTTGGACATATTCTTGGAGGTGTCTTCTTTCACTCAAATACGGTGTCAAAAAGCTCTAAAATATCTTTCTATAAGACAAACATTAGATTCCACCAGCGCAACTTTCATTAAAGAAACCGCTCCAATCCAAACAAGAAGGGTTCTATAGAACAAACCTTCTAAAGTCAAGTCATGACCAAAAACGTGACATTTACTGCAGCAAACCTGGTCTGAGGGCCAAAACAGTCATTTTATAGGTAGACATAAATAAAGGGAAAAATTCGATGTGGAAAGAATGTTTGGAAAAAAAAAGTTTTAATAGCTTTAAGAACGGGGATGAAAGATCAATTGTTTGGGAGAAAAGTTCTGATGTTTATGATGGGTTTGGCTGGACCATCGGCCCTCCATCCAATGTTTATTTATAATTGCCAGCACAGCCTCTATAATTCTCATGCTAGAAAGAAGGAGAAGAAAGATGCAGATGACACAAAAATGTTCAGCTAATGATTTTTGCAAGACTCACTTTAAGCAGGTGGGTAATTTGCACTGCAGTTTTTACTTTACAGATTACTGTCGGGTGATTTTCACAGAATTGAGATCAACAATCATAATTATTACAGTTTATTAGATGTATACACATACTAACCTCATGTGAAGAGGAATAAAATTCAAACTGAGTCCTATCAATGTAACTGATTCTGCTGGAGGTTTCTTCCTGTCGCTTGCTCATAGGGGGTCATATGATTGTTGGGTCTTTCTCTGTATGTATATGTAGGGTCTACCTTACCATATAAAGCGCCTTAAGGTCACTGCTGTTGTGATTTGGCGCTGTATAAATAAAACAGAATTGAATTAATCCAGGTATCAGGTATGGTCCCCATCAAATCTTATTTTTAAGATAGCCCTAGATTAGACACTTGAGCTATAAAAATGTAGTTATAGACAACACAAAAGACATTTATTTATCACATTTCCCTTAAAAAAATACCTTTAAAATGTTAATTCATGAGGAAAATACTAAGAAAAGCAGAGTCTATCAGCTTAGAGTTTGAGATTGCTGACCTTTATCCTCTTTGCCGAGTCCACAGTGGCAAATTAAACACGAGTTCATATAAGGATTTAATCCTTTCCCTACCTCTCCCAATCTTCACAAAACCACAGAGCAATGTTCTAAAAAGCCCGAACTGCTTATCTGTAGTGATTCAAGTACATGAAAAAAAAATCCTTTTATAACCCACTTGATTTTAAAACCACGTGTCAAAAAGAAGACTCAGAATACGTTACATGATATATTGAGGCTGAAATGCCTCCTTAAACAGTCAAGGGAAAAAAATCCACTGGGCTGATTAAGTGTTTAATAAGCAGAGAAAAGAGTCACGTGTCTGTGACACATAGCAATTATAGAGTGTGCAACCCTCGTAGGCCAGCCTTGGAGGTTTCAAGCGTGCGGTGTCTGATCTTGGTGGACAAACGGACCACTCTCGGTGCTTTGATATCAGATATTCCCTGCTTAGCACAGTCAGTTCACAGTGAAATTACAAAAACAAGACACGTGACAGAGGATCAAAAAAAGCACGTGGCATGTTTGTTGGGAGACAAAAATACTGATAGGGCATGAGCTGCAACACTACAGCAGCACTGCGGTGACATTATTTAATTTAAGTTGACCCTCATCATGTGTCACAAAATCCATCTCTCGCTTGTAAAGGTTATGACTGGATGCAGCTCCACATTTTGGACAATATTTAATCATATTTAAGGGAGACTGACAGTAGAAAAGCAGATATTAATAACAATTTCTATATTTTTTTCTTAGTATAGCCTTCTTTTAATTTCACCTAACAAACAATCTCATCCTCACCAACAGGCCAAACTTCACTTTTGATTTTTATTCTGGAAGATTATTTTGTTTGCTTAGTTTCCATTTGTTTGGATTGAATCTCCTACTTAAAGAAAGAGGAAAAAAACACTTTAAGTATTAATGCAACGACTGTGCCACTCTGGTAACAACCTGAGAACCCATCAGCTCGTACACTGACTTGGCGTCCAAGTGCAACAGCTAGTTTTTCAGGGCTTCAGGATTAGGGATGGGTACCGGTATCCGGTGCCATGACATAAACGGTAGTAACCAGACCGAAAAGCAGCGCACATTTCGGTGCTTTATTTCCCTGAGCTGTGATACACTTTAGATTCTAGCCAATCATTTTACGTTTCCGAGGATAGTAGGCGGGTCCAGGTACGTACGTTCTTTTAGAGCAGAGCTACAGATTAAAAATGCCCAAGGCGAAGAGGTCAAAAGTCTGGCTGTACTTCACAGCAAAATATGCAAACTCAGCAGCCTGCAACAAGTGCTTTAAGCTGATACTGTGTTACTGTCAAAGGAGCTAACACCTCAAATCCGATGAAACACCGAGAAATGCGCCGTATTTGATAGCTTGCTGCGAGACCTCACACCGAGCACATCTAGTGCGGGTGGGTTGCCTGTTATCGGACCCGGAGTTAGCAAAATCCCCCAAAAACCCGAAGAGGAGAGTCCTGGCCCCTAGCCCTGCCAGTGTAGGGCCAGTGAACATGAGAGGTTTTTGGACCAATTTTGTGTTCTCCATTCTTTAAGCACCGGTTTGAGCACCGTTTAAGCACCGGCACTGTTTCAAAAGTACCGGTTTGGCACCGGTATCGGATAAAACCTAAACGATACCCATCCCTATTCAGGATACCCAAACTGCGGAAAACAGATATCTGTTCAAAATCCCCCTCTTTTGTTTTTGCTCTCGACATAGACTGACCTGCAACCAAAGCATGCTCAAACATTTGCTTAGTTAACAAGACGCAGGAAACTTCTGTATATCTATCTAATAGCTACCCCCGAAAAATCAAAACTGTTTATTCGTATTCTTTTTCCTGTAAAAGATCCTCTGCCAGGTTCGATTTTAAAGTTTAACAAAGTCTCATATTAACCACCCACTGTTTGCAGAAAGCTCTTCTATGCTCCAGTTCAACCTTGACAGCTTTACTGCTTTTTATTTTTAGTTTCAGGCAGAGAAAAAGACTCTTTGCAATCTCTAGAAAGCCTTCTCCCGTTCAACAAAACTAAAGATCAGCAACTGTTGAAACACGCCAGATCTGGTCAGTACATTCTGGAGGCCCCTGCAGATTATGCTGATTTTGAACTGTATACACAAAGTGATGTATTAACTTCATCAAGCATTAGGATAAACTCGAGCTTCACAAAAGATTCAGACATCAGTTTGTCTGGTCGGCAAAGTGACAGCGATCTCGTTTAGCACTGCTAAGCAGACAACTGCTGTAAATGTGCCTCGTGCTTTCACTCGCGACCCTGTACGCTCATTATGCGCTGGCTGTTTGTTAAGCATGGATGAACGCAGCCACTGTAGCAGCATGGAGGAGCTTCACCTATTAACGCTTTCTCTGTCACTCATAGCTTACACTTTTATATATACTGACAGTGTCAGAGTCAACTTATTTGCATAAATGGAAAACACTTTCAGATTAAGTTGCATTGATAAATGAGACAGATTTGCCGAGAGCTACTTTTTTAAAATACAAGATAAGAGTTACTTCAACTCTTCTCACTGTTTTTCTACTTAATTCATTTACATTAAAAGTATTTTCTGTGTCTTTTTTTTCCCTTTGGGCTCATTTGCAATGATTCAGCAGAAGAGAAATTGAAGAATTCAAAGCAAATAAACAACTGCAAAGGACAAGATGTAGGAAGATGGTCGGGTCATTTTGTTCTTTCTTGAAATTAAAACAGGCGAGCTTTGCGATTTTACCATCTGGTGCACAGAATCCTTTCTTTGACATTAACGAACATAACCACCCATCCATCAACCACTCAAGTGCTACACAAATGCAATCCTGCACAGATGCGCACAAAGCTCTTACACACAGATACAAATATGCTTGCTAATCTCACACACACACACACACAAACGCAGTCACTTTCAAACCAGCTCAGAGCATGTTTGAGCAAAAGGTTATTTAGAAACAGGGAGAGTTGCAGGTTTGAGAACCAATGAACGCGTGATACGCTTTCAGAAAACATACAAGCAACAAACTGTCGAGGGGGCATTCGTCCATCTCTGTCTCCTGCGGCCTGAGAGACGTTAAAAACCACTGATTCCAGATGATACTGCTGGCTCATGCTGACAAAACCTGGCAAGCTAGCTTAGAGAACACACAAAACAAAATGCTGTAATTGCTGTAAAATACTGCAGTTGTGACCCCATAAACATCCTTAAGCAGAAGAAACAGGGAATCGATTGCAACTGCAAATGGCCATAAACTACAACAAGGCAGGAAATCTTATAACCAGTTGCCAATGAATGAGTACAAAAAAAAGGTCAAAATTAATTAGTTATGCTGGAACTCACCTATCGTGCGTGGCAGCATGCCTTGCCGGGGCATCAAGTTGTCATCGAGGCCCTCCAGGCCACCGTACAGCGAGTGGGAGATTCGGCGCTCGTGGTCATCTAGGGAGGTGTTTAAAATCTGCTGGGGTCCCAGTGGGCTCCCTGGTGTCTCCTGAATGAAGAGGAAGCTGATGTTACATCAAAGACTAACTCCTTCCTTTGTTTGAATCACCTGTGAAGTGTTTTTATAAAGGTTAACAAACAACAAATAATCCTTTTTAACGGGGACAGAGTGAAGTGCTAGAAGTTAAGTCTCACTCAAAAGTGAGAGAATGATTCTGAAGGGAACTAGCATCGCTAACATTTGTTCAATAGTAATGGCTGGACACAGGGGTGGCGATCCATGCTAATGCTACCAATGTGCTAACAAGGATAAATGAGGATGGATTTCCATTCGGCTGTTGAGCCACAGGCTATTACCGAGCTGGCGATCCCCCGCTGGGGAAGATTAGCTTCCTAGCATCTTGACATTTACCTTAAAACCCATGATGACACTCTTTCTTGCTGGACAAATAGACCATTTGCATGCCCCGTTACCCTTTTGCACACATCTACTGCCTGAGAAGGTGTGTGCACGTGTGTCTTTTGTCCGTTGGATCAGTGGATGTACTGATGTATTGATGTTTTCTGTATGGTTTTTGCATTTCTTTCTGAAGGTGATGACAGCTCTAATGATAGCAGTAATAAATGTTAACACATATCAGGAAATGACACTATCAAACTTGACTCAATACTGGGACCAAACGACTCCAATCAATGACTATGACTAGCTTGGCTGGGATGTGAGTTTAGCAGAAGGTCTTTGCCCAATGATCCCTTTCACTTCAGTGAATGGTTGTGCTGCTATAAACACTGCCGAATAAATAGAGCATACATATGGTGGTAATATTAGGATGCTGGCAAAAGTGTCATGAGGCAGATTACAGAAAAGAAGGCTCTTTGTGCAAGACTAGAAACATGTTCACATCCTGAATCACCTTTAGCTCATTGATCAAACTGCTTTTTCTTTCTTGTTAGGGATTCACAGGGGTCATTTAGACAAGACAAGTCTGTTTATGAAAAAGAAATAAATAAATAAACCCCTGCAGCAGCCCTGAACTCGATCTTGTGTTGTGAATGCAAAGCGTTATTTAGCACAGAAATCTATAACTTTCCAATAAATGTACGCAAGTAAAAATAAAGCACAGGCCTGCGAAGTGTAGAGTAATACAATAAGTTCACACTGGAAATAAGGCAAAATTCAAGCACCTAAAATTTAAACTCCTTTAGAGAGCTTGAGTAAATTAAAAAGACCTAAACCCTGAAACCCTTAAGCAAGACACCATAATAGCTCTTGTAGAAAGGCAAGAAAATTTCATTTCAGACATTTCCTTTTTAAATAACTCCTCCTCTAGAAAAAATGTTAGTATGTCAATAAAAGTTTCTACCAGTTTTACTGCTAACACGTCTTCATTTTTCTGGATGCCTTTCTTGCACCACAAATGAAGAAAGTCATTTGCTGAACAGATTAAAGAGTTTGAATGATGGCAAACATAACTAATGAAAACTTCACATGGATAAAACAAATCAACTACGGCGAGCGACTCATTTCGAAGGTCGCCATATGGTGCTGTGACTGCCGGCATGCAGCTGCTCTTGACTTTAAATGAGGTAGTTAATGAATCGGGCGACTGAGGGGCCGGGGTGAAATGCCTCGGTAATAGCCGATGGGATTCGCCGTACTGAGGGCACATGGACAAATCACACCGCAGCTCATTGCATATTCAGGCTGATAATTGAACTCCTGGAAGGTCTCGATCCCTTCGGGTGCCAGCGGTGATGTGGAAGTTGGCTGGTTGGAATTCACTGCGTTTCTATGGGGATGGAGGAAAGATCGGAAGTGGTGGAGCCTGTGATTTATGCAAAAGCAAACATTTGAGATTGATATCAGATTGACGGGGACACGGGGGGGGGAGAGTAAATAGAGATTTATCTGATCACATATGTCGCTAAATGTCAAATGAGCTATAGCTCTTATCCTATAGTAATTAGGTGTTATTAGATTTTAAGTAATATTTGATTGACGGCTGGTTATGATGCGTTAATCTATACTGAGCCTATGGGGCTTCGAGCTCAGACCAGTCTCTTTGAGAACAAGTGTATTAAATTGTTGTTTTCCTCTTCTTGTTTTCTCAGTGTCACGGACTCTATTTTTATAAATAGCCAGACACTTGGACAGCCTCAGGCCATGCCTCCAGCTCTGCATGTGAAGCAAAGATTGACGAGACTCCCAGCGCTCGAATTTTATTCATCCACCACGCTCTCTGTGAAGTCTCACTGCTTCGACATGTCGGCAACACACACGCATGTGCATATACATGGGACGTGTTGGCAAACGGACACGCAGAAATATCCTGGTAAATAAATGCATATGTGCATAAGCTGGATGTACAAAAGCACAAACTGCACGCTTCACTACACATATATACACGCACACAGGCTGATAAAACACGCACGCACGCACACACAGACACACAGACACACACACACACACACAAGACACACCTCCAGGCTTAGCCTCTGCTTTCAATTACGAGGCGGACCGAGGGGAAATCAAAACTTTGACACACCAGGTTGGAAAAGGAGAGCAGAGAAGCCAGGCACTGCCAGAGGCGTACACGTGCACACGGACGTGCGCGCCCATTTGCAGACACGCAGCAGCGGTGCACACAGATTCAGCCTCAGCTTTCAAGCAGGCGACAGGCCAAGGTGTACGGAGAATGTAAAAACATGACATTGAGGGGAGGAGAAAAGTTGCGCAGCTCAGTTCGCAGCCGTGTATTTTTCCTCCACCTGCCTCGAGGGAGGCAGGAGTGAATGTAAGGGGTTGGCGAAATGCTATGACCTGACTGCTTCCTTTTATTTTATGAAATAATTAATTGATGCTTATAAGGGTATTTCCCAGTGGTTTGGCTTTGGGTTTTTATATATTTATCACAGAAATCAGGCCTAACGACTTAAGTGGCTATATTCAGGAACAGCAATGCCAAATTTTACAGGAACAAAAGCAAAAAAAAACCCCAACAACATGGAAACTGCAACTATAGATATTCTGATCTGAATACTATCAGATTGGAAAGTGAAATTTGGGTCCCAGTGGGCTCCCTGGTGTCTCCTGAATG